AGGTGCTTTAGATCACTGAGCCATCTCACCAGCCCTCCAGTTGATTTTAAATAAAGACTATTTTTCCTATAAGAAATAATGGAAATAGGGCTGGTGAGTTAGCTCAGTGGAATAAGTGCCTGCCTAGACAAACACAGGGATCCATGTTTTATCTTAGACACGAAATGCTTCACCAGCCCCAACGTGGGCACCCTGAGCCAGTCACCGAGACAGGACATGGTGGTGCACACCTGAAATTCCAGCACTGGGAAGGCTGAAAACAAGAGGATCACTATGAGTCCAAGCTGCATAGGGAGATCCTGTACCAAATACATTTTTTAAAAGATAAAAAATAAATAATGAAATAATTCATAAACAACCCAAAGCACCCCTTAACTAATCTTTTCATAATGAAAAGGATTGTATAATTTACCAGAAACACCAATAATTTTCATAGTGTATTCACCAGAAAGTCATAAAATGTGCCTAGTTATAAAATGTGCCAGAAACAACAACTTCACACTGTACTATCCATCTAATCTTTTTTTTTCCCCATCTTTGGCTTGCAAAGATAAAATGGAAGGTGGTTATTGTTTGGAAAGAGCCTCCTTTCACAAGAACATCAGGAATATAGCTCCCTAGTGTCCTTTCTCTCTTTAGGAGCCTGTAGCCCAATAAGACCTGCTTTTGGCTCACTAGGTCGCAACCTTTTCAGATCTAAAACTTGAGCTAAGGCTGTCTGCCTCTGTCTTTTCTTTAGTTCTGAGGTATGACATGACATTGTCATTAAGTAAGTGAAAAGAGTAAGTGACCTTTTGTCTGTCTAGGTGGACAGAAAAACTTTTCTCTCCAAAGATTTTAGCTCTGTCCTTTTTTTTCATGGTTTCTTTTATTTCAAGAAAAGAACTTTGCTGTACTGATTGTTATACTCCACTTCCTCTTCAGACAGCACCTCAGCTGCCATTCTCTGTAGTTCAGCCAGAAGTTGCTGAAGTTCTTCTGTAGGCAGCTCCCCTAAGTACTCTTCCACCACTTCTTCAGCCTCAACATTGTCTACTTGCAAGTCTATGGACTCTGCTATAGTGACAGTGTCATCAACCACAGGATCAACTAAAGGCTCAGGCTCCTCCACACAGCCTTCAAAGTCTCTTTCATGTATAATTTTAAGCCACATTTTCTTTCAGACACATCTCAGTGTCCTTAGACTTTGGCCTAGGGATTTTCAATTAACCGTACACAAGGATATTGTTAAGTTCTTGTAAGAACACTTTAAGGGTTAGATCTGTACCTAAGGCCATCTGGAAGCAGTTCAGGAACAGTTCTTCTTAAAGTTACCTATAATCTGCTGGTCCATAGATGCAGTAGAGGAGATGTATTCCAAAGCCATAGGAGATCTTCAGCCAATTCTTCCAAATCTTGTGGATGAGAAGAATTGTCTAGGATGAGGAGAGGCTGGAGTGCTAAACCTTTGTCTTCTAAATATTTCTTAACAGTAGGTTAGAAAGCCTCTAGGTTCTACTCAAGAAGAAGTGTTCTTGTTACCTAGGCTTTTGTGTTAGATCTCCACATGACCCCTTGCCTATTCTTCATGACTTTGTTTTCTGAGCACTCTAGGGGGTCTCAAAATGATAAACAAAGAGAGGCTTTACCTTGAAGCTACCACTCACAATAGCGCAAAGTGCTAAGGTTAACCTATCCATCATAGGCTTGTGGCCTGGCATTTTCTCTTCTCCCTGAGAAATGTATGTTCTCCTATGCATTTTTCCCCCAGAAACAATGAGTTTTATCACAGTTGAAAACTTGATGAGAGTAAAAGCCATTTCTCTTTGTTTCAAAGTGGTGTATAGATTATTAGCAGCCTTTCTATCAGTACTAGCTGCTTCACCAGGCCTAGTTGCACTATGGGCCCCAGTCTTTGCTTTAAAATCATGAAGCCACCACTTACTGGAACAAAATGTTTCACCATTATCACTCATGGATGGATTATCCTTTATAAGACCTGCATTTGTAGGCCTATTTTTTTCACAAGTTATAAACTCAAGCTGTAACCTCCCATCTGCCTTATACTAATAGCCTTTCTACCTTGTCTAACACTATTGATTGTGGCTTACTAATTGAGTGACACCTTTAGCAACACTAGCTTCATGATGCAAATATTTCCTATGTGAGATTGTGGAGATAGCAGATTTCAACATGGTGCACATATCCTCTACAATATACTTATTCTTTTCTATTATGATTGCTTTCTTTACCGTCCCCTCCTTGCTTGCTTAGCATTTTGGGGGCCATTTGGATAGAAGTAAATATAGCAGTTATTTTAAGCACTGAGAAAATCACATCCACAAGTATGCATGTCTGTGCCCCAACTGGTGCTTACATATACATTTCTGGCCTCATAAGTCTTTTATAGCTGCAGAAGTGACCAACATTTGGGTCATAACTCAAGACTTTCAATTAAACCTAAAATTCTAGTTGTAAGCCAAGGTATTTATTCTATGAGTCCTGTAGGAACTTGAGGGTCTGCTATAGACAGACAGATGATAGGTAGGTAAGTAAGTAGGTAGGTAGGTAGACAGATAGATAGATAGATAGATAGATAGATAGATAGATAGATAGATGATAGATAGATAGATGTAGTTAATTTTAATGATTATCTTTGATTTTTTAAAAAACCATACAGGTGTGGGCCAGCAAGATAGCTCAGTGGACTAAGCTCCTGCTTAGGCAAGAGCAGGGACCAGAGTTCAATCCCCACATGCTATACTGGCCTTGCCCCCCAGGCATACTGAGCTGCCCACTGAGTCCAGGCATGGTGGTGCACACCTCTAATCCTAGCACTGGGGAGGCTGAGACAGGAGGACCACTACAAGTCCAAGCTGTGTAGTGAGACCCTGTACCAAGTACATAAAAAAACCCAAATATATAGGTGAGTTCTAAATTACAGTTACCTTAAGAAACAAAGCAAATGGCAAATGTCTTTATTTCCTTTGTTCAATTTATAGGTTACTTTGTATTTCAGGGTTGTCCTTGGTTATCTTTCTGACCCAAGTGAGGACCTTCAAGATCCAGTGAGTGACAAATTCTTCAAGGAGGTGTGGGTTTCAACAGCAGCTCGGAATGCTACAATTTATGACAAGGTGAGATTTACTTACCCCCACCCATTTTTAAAAATCAAATTTCTTCACAAAATTGTATGTCATTATTTCTCTATTTTATTGATATATGAGTATCTGATACTCATATTATTAATGAGTATAAACAAAATAATTGCCCCCATTGCTTCTTTGCAAATACGAAACAGCAAAGTTCAAAAAGTCTTATGGATCATGGGATAGAAGAGGCTTTGGAGGTAGCCTGTCTTCTCCTGTGTCATGCTCAGGAATCTCGGCATCCTTAACACCTGCTTACCAAGCCTGTGAACATGTTCAGTGACAAAGCCAGGTGGGATCCAAATCTGAGTCAGTCCTGGGTTCAGTCCAGCTCACTCAGTAACTGGTGATATGACTTTGTGTATAGTGGCTTGACTTTTTTGAACTTTCCTTCCTTGGGAGGGATATTCCCAGGGAAAAATATCTAGAGATATTCTTTAGAGTGAGTATGAAGATGTAATCTCTTAAATGTACTTAGCACATGGTACATACTGTTGCAATAGTACTCAGCCAAATGATGACTTTCTAAAATAGTAAGACTATCCTTTTTTGGATGGTTCTAATGTTAGAAGATTGTTTTTAGCCCAGCATCAATGCATAGCAAAAGCATCTCGTGGTAAATTATATCCACTGGTTATGATAAAGAATGTAGGAGGGTTAAGCCTTATGTGATAGTGAAACATGTTGGTTCATGAAGTGGCCAGCTTCCTGTCATGGAAAATATTCAGGCTAAAGTTAGTTGATGATTTCTGAGAAGCTAGGATAAGAGCATGTTGTTCATGACTTCCAGAGTCCCTTCTGTCATGGAGACTTTAACCTTTCTTGATAGAACATGACATGTATTTACATTGCTTTACCTTATATGGCAGACTCAAGGCCACAACCAAATAGGTCACATGTATGGAGTCTTTTAAAATATAATTTTGGCTGGAGAAATAGCTCAGTAGTCTAAGCACCTGCCTAGCAAGAGTAGGGTCCCAAGTTTAATCCCTGGTACTGTATGCCATGTGGGCCCAGAACCCCCAGTGTGCCGTGCCAGCCCCAAAATCAGGCATGGTGACATATGCTTGTAATCCCAGCACTGGGAAGGCTGAGATAGGAGGATCACTACCAAGTCTGAACTAAGTAGTGAGACCCTGAATCAATTAAAATATCTATATCTATATATCTATATCTGTATCTGTATCTATGTATATATATTTACAAATACAGCCTTATTTGGATTCTGAATGGAGGCAGTGATGAAAGACCTTTTTGAAGATGATAGTGCAACTGAACATGAATCCTAACTTAAAATTTCTTCAGTAAAACAGATGGCCAAATAGCTCAGTGGATTAAACCTCCTGCAAGTAGGCGCAAGGACCAGAGGTTTGATCCTCAGGCTTGCCATGCCAGCCCTGCCCCCTGGGCACGTGCACACTGAGATGGCAATTGAGACTGGGTGTGGTGGCGCGCACCTGTAATCCCAGCACTTGGGAGACTGAAAACAGGTGGATCACTATGAGTCTGATCTAGTAGTGAGACCCTGAACACCCTGTAGACCCTTCCCTAAAAAATAAAAAATAAAATTCTTCAGTAGAGAACAGTATGGTATTGTATAGGCACATACCTTTATTCTTAAGAATGGCAATGCTGAAATACACAGAGATGAAGTTTTACATCCAAAACTTTCAGTCAGCAAACTGTTACTTTAGGAATTGTAGCATTAGCAGTTGTGACACTACATAAAGGTATAGACATCAACATCCTTCAGCATGAAAAGTTAGAGAAAATGTATTAATGCAGATTTTTCACTTAGACAAAAACTTCCAGTGAAATTCGGGGATGGCTGTTATCCAACAGTTGACGTTAATGGAGGATAGCATCAGTGAATTTCCATAGCTAAGGACCTGTGTGGAAGAGATGTGAGGACCTGCGACTTTTTTCAATGGAAGCAAATCCAGTAGTCACTTTATAGCAAGTAAGAGCAGCAACTCTTAAGTCTCTGCTTCAACATAAAATTAATGTGCTTCATGAAACAAAACTGCCTGTTGTAATGAATCTTTTTTATAAAGGGCGTGAGCTTTCTCTTAAGCTAATCACTCAAGTTCCAATTTGTGTTTTAATCAGGTGTTCCGGTGCCTTCCCAATGATGAAGTGCATAACTTAATGCAACTGAGAGACTTTATAAACAAGCCCATATTAGCAAAGGAAGATCCCATCAGAGCTGAGGAAGAACTAAAAAAGATCCGAGGGTTCTTGGTTCAATTCCCCTTTTATTTCTTATCTGAAGAAAGCCTGTTGCCTTCTGTTGGAACCAAAGAAGCCATAGTGCCCATGGAGGTTTGGACTTAAAAGATTTACTTGTCTGCAGCAAAAAGACTTCTCCTCTGAAGCCCACAATGTGCACACTGACTTCATGGGGGCCTCATAGCCTATTATAGGCTGATGCACTCTCAGGGCCAACACATGGACCTTGGAAAATGGCTGTGGTCCTACTGATATAAGGACGCTGAACATCAGCAAAGTTTATAATTCCTTTTCCCATCCTTGTCAAAGGGGGATCCATTCTTGTTGGTAGTCTTTCTTCAATGCCTTAAATCATAAGCAAATTCCATGGCATAGGCCAAAATCCATTTGTTAATAAGAATTTGTGTGTGACTGTGATCCAGGTTGCCAGAAGTTGCCCGAGCTTCCTTCTGGTTCTGTGACCTCCATGTGCACAGCCACTGTCTGCTGGACTTGGCCCCATCATTCGGTCTACACAGTGCCTTTTCTTGCTAAACGACATTGGAAAGCTGCGTGAAGCTTCCTCCAGTTTACAGGGATGCCCTGCAGAAGTAGTGTTCACCCAGTCAAGGATGTGGTCATTGTTTCTTGTCCGCTTCTGTAGGGGCAGGAAGCCTAGCCTACACAGCAGTCCACACTTCTGGTAACATTAATACTGTATCTTGACACCACAGAGTAACAAGAAGGAATTAAACTCCAGGACTGAAGCAGAGATTTCACTTTGTTCCCCAAAGCACCGCCAAGATGCATTTTTTTGATAGAGCCCAAGTGATCAAACTTGAAAACATGTTTAGGATACACAGATCAAACTGAGATGGAGCACACATTCTTCAGAAACTTCCAGTGTCAGTAGGAACCCGATATTCATAAGATTCTTTACAGTCTTGTGAATTTTTTGTCATCTTTGATTGATTGGAATTTCAATTTCTTCATTTCATAATCAAATGAGTGAATACAATTTGCCTAGCAAGAGAATCAAAGGTTTCCTACCAAGTTAATGACTCTAACCTTGTTTGACATTCACTGTTATTATACTTAAGAAGAAATGATTATAAAATATATGCTGTTTTTCTTGCATTATTAAATATGTGTTAATATTCCACCAGGGCTTTCAAAGAATTTAGGATATTCTTATAGATTGAAGATGTAAAAGAGGCCTCTGAGCAATAAACCGGGTACAGGTCCAGGGATTCTACACATGGACAGAATCTCCTTAAGGTTCTTCAATGCAAGTACCCAGTCTCTATTTTCATGAACTCACACTCAGGTCAGAAGGATTGGAGAAGACCACAGAGACAGTGAAACATACTAATAGAATAGTGTCATACCTGAGAGGATTTCACACCTAGAGAAATAAGGTGAAACTTTGTAAGCAGCTCTGGAAATGAGTATTAATGAATAAATAACTCATTTTTCATAGGACTGTAGATGGTAAAATGATTTAATTACTTAGGTTTTATAAATGAGACATTTTATATTGATGAAAGCTTGGATTGACCTTTGAAGTACTGAGTGTATGTGGAATACCTAAAGATTGCTGTATTTTATTTTAAAATATTTTGTAAACCTTAGAACAATGAACAAACCAGCCTTGGATTTATGCAAATTATTCTTAGAAAAAAATGTGAAAAATAAAGGGTCCTAAATAGAGCCCCTTTTTGGGACAGGGCCTTAATATGTTGCTCAGACTGCCCTTGAGCCCATAGTGATCCTCCTGCCTCATCTTCCAGAGTGCTGGGAATACAGGTATGTACCACCATGCTCAGAAACTCTTCTCCTTAAAATAAATTATTTGATTCAACCCTCCCCATTTTGTAGATGAGGTAACTGAGGCTCAGAGGGGTGGAGGACTGATTTAAACTCACAATATATAGAAGGCAGAACTGGCACTAGCAAAATTGCTACAGTCTATAGTTGTCCTTCCATGTCATCACTGCCCAAAAATGAAGATATGCAGGAAATTTTAGAAGGCTATTTTAAGCTGTTTTGGACCCTGCCTGTGCCTAAGTACTGGGATAGATGTGCCATAAGGTAGGGATTTCACCATTGTTGCTTGCAGTGTGTTCCCACAGCCTGGATCAGTGCCTGGCTCCCAGGAGAGATCAATAAATGTCCATAGAATGCGCACAAGAAGAGGAGAGGACTAAAGAAAAGAAAAACTTACTAAGTGTCAGGCCAGAAACCTTACTATCAGTTTCTCTTGCAAGTTTTCTACATCTCATAGTCAGGATTCTTATCTACAAAAAAGCAGTGAAGTGTATTGGGAGAAATCTTACAGAAACTTCAGTGCAATAATTGTTTCTCATACAGTAGCAGGTTACGAAGTGCAAAGTTCTGTAAGAATTGCATGGAGTATGGGCATGGGATATACTGTAGAACCTTAGTACCTGTGTCTTTTGGACACCATTAATACCTACTGGAAGTTCCAATGATGTATCTTAACATCGAAGTGTCTCATAACTTTAAAATGTAAGTCATGGAAAACCTTGAAAAGTTATTAGGAATTGTTCAACATTTCAAACTGACTGCAATCTTTTGAAATGCCTGCAAATGCTATGCCTGATGTCCTGCAAATATCTATGAAATGCCTGCAAATGCTATGCCTGATGTCCTGCAAATATCTGTAATAATTTTTGTTTCCCAGGAGGAAAAAGTCTATTATTACAATAAATGAAGGGTAGAAAGTGGTCCTGGCCTAATAGAGTTGTTCCTTGGAGGAAATCTAAGGAATAGCAATTTTAGCATAGTTTTGCATTCAGATCAGGGGTCAGGCCATGACACACCCTTCTATGGGAAGCTCTTGAGTCTCCACATCTCAGAGGGATGTGGAGAGCTGACTATTAGATAATCCTGTGGCATATTGTGAAGCAAAGTACTTTTTTGAAGTGTTTTTGAAGAAAATTTTCTCTGTAGGTGCTCAGAATATGAACAGCTAATGTCTTATGTAATAACTTGGGAAATTATGTCATGACTGAACTGTCTCTCAGGTGGCAGCAGCTGACTGAGAAATCATTTTTCAGATGTGAGACTAAGGAGAATAAATTTTTATGTATAAAATAATAAAGAACTTGTACTTCTCTCTGCAGCTACTAATCTTGTGTTCTTTCCACGTCTACTTCTAATCAGAATTCCTTATTTTGTAAAAATCATTTTAGAAAACAAGAGAAAATTTTACTGAAAAAAATTAAGCCTCACCTTAGCCTGCTCATCTGCTATTCAAAATACTGTAGAAGGAGTGGCTGAAATGGTAAAATTTATTTTTCCAATTGTGGAGGTAACAAGCCTAATACCATGGTCCCTTTCTACCAAAAGCTGTGCTGTTTCTTCCTGCAAAGCCACTAATACATCATCAGGATCCCACCCTCATGGTGTAGAACTCGGGCCATAGCTTCCTCTCTATGGTAGGGATTTTAGAAATCAAAAGTGGCCTCCACTGTTTTACAATTAAAGTTTCATTAGAAGACAGTCATATCCCCTCATACCCATATGTCCCACGTATTGTAAGATAATTACTATCAGTAAGAGGAGGCTTGCTGATCCATATAGAGAATATTCAGACAGAGCACCACAAACAGTTCTGGGGAAGTTTTAATTTTGCCCCATCAGTAGAATTATCAAGTATCTCTAGTCCCGTAGCCCAGAATTGTACAATCTGTTTACCCCAAGACCATAGCCAGGTCCTTTTAGAAATAAAAATCACCTGGCTTTTGACTCTGGAAGATGTGGTCAGCTTCTCCAGCCAAGCAGTCATAACACAAATGGTTGGAAGTGTCTGTAACTGAAACATTATGTACATGGGGATGGGGAGGCCTGAGTGTTTCTATCCAGAATGATAATCATGAAATTAAGAAACTCTTTCCCTGAATTTTCCTCCTATGAAGTGCTGGAAATGATACAGATATTCCTTATTTGCACAGTCACTGCTTTCTGTACCTTGTCTTTTAGCTGCTTTTCTTTCTTAAGACATAAGCATTCATTAACTGAGCAATTAAAACTGGGAGATCAGCAGTCTCCCTCTATGTGGAAGTCACTGTCCTTATGCACGTGGGCTCTGGGGCCAGGGTGTTCTCTGTGAGATGGAGGCAGCACTGTATGCCCCTGCATCCTCTGGTGCAAAAATTGCTGTTCTCTACCTCCCTGGGCTCCTCTCACTGATGAGGTGCAGTGACAGTGACTAAGCAAATTTTTTTGTAGAAGGTGGATGAGCACCTATTGGGCAAGGCCCTGTTGGAGTGCTGAAGATGCATCAATGAGCATGTCAGCCCAATCTCCCCACCTTCATGGTGCTCACATTTTAGCAAATGGACAAGATTCCCATTCCCCAAATTACCTGAAATAAGACAACTCTGGATGCAAGTATGAGGATTTTCCCTAGGTGGGCAGAACAACAAATCCTGGAGTATGATAAACACTATTCTCCGTGGACGCCAGAGTAGGATCCAAGGAAGAACATTACCGCTATCAATCACAACACTAATCATAGCTACTCTAAGCAGCTACATCCTCCTCTAAGGACTTCCCACTTGAGTTCTTTAATGAGCTGTGTGGTTGGTTTTCTGCTGTCAGATAGCTGCATATGCTCTGGTGCCCACTGACTGTGCTCACCTGAAACCCAGTCTCTCAGCTGCTAGCCATAGGATTTCTCTGAGCAGATGAACCTCTCTGAGGTCTTCAAACCCATGGTAATAAGGCCACGAGAAACCACAGCAAAAGTGTAATGCCTGGCTACAGTAGGTGCTTTCTACCAAAGTGGGGCTGCTGGAGCAGTTTCCTTGAATTTACTCTCTGAAAGTGAGGACAACACACACACACACACACACACACACACACACACACACCCATGCCCAAGCCTAGCACTGACGTCTTTTCATAATTGCAGAAAATGATTGCTATGGTTGGAGTCTCCCTCCCTAAGCCTCCCACTCTAAACTTGTGGTGACATTTAATTTTCATTGTAACAATGTTAACGATATTGATTTAACTTCCATTGTAACAGGTGAGACCTTTAAGAGGTGACTGAGTCATCTGGTCTCTGCCCTCTTGAGTAGATTAATGCTTATCGCAGGAGTGCTCATTGCAGGAATGGATTCCTGATAGGAAGAGTTCAGCCTGATCTTTTCTCTTTGTGTGTCTGCTCTCCCTCCCACAATGCTATGCAGCATCCCAGAGGGCTTCACCACCATGCTCCTGACCCCTCAGCCTCCAGAACTGAGTCAAATAATACATCTCTATTGCCTATAGGTTATCTAGCCTGTAGTTTCTATTTCTAGTAGCTGAAAACAAAAGAAGGAAGTAAGCAAATGATAGAAATTTATAGATGGAGGTCATAAGCTGGAAAGAGCAAATAAAGGTGTCTTGGGAGAGGATACTGGATGTTTTTATCTAAACCCCGTTATCCATTTTTGGTTTCCTATACCAGAGAAATTAACCAAAAATCTAAACCGATACCTCACATGCCAAAGAGACTGGATGAATTTCTGAAATCTCTTTATTTGAACAATGGGAATTTCTGCCATTTTAAACATCCATATCTGGTGCAAAGTTTGTAAGTTTGACCCTCCTAGGCTGCATCTACACAAAGGCGTTTTCACTTAGACCACACAATGTGGGTTAGTGTTGTAAATTAGTTTTCAAATATAAAAACTGGTAGATTTTACACAAAATTTTGATTTTCTGACTTCTGCGAAGAATATCTAGGAGCGACAGCAGCATGCATTAATTCCTTTGCAGATGAACAATGTCCCCTTCCCATGGACATGTGCTGCCCACGTCACTACAGTCTCCTCCCTTCCCTGAAGGGCGCTAGGCTGTGACTTGAATGAATCAGTGGAATGTAGCAGCAGTGACACGTAACTTTGAAACCTGGGCTCAAGAGGACTGTGCTTCCGTTATCTGAGAATGCTGCCATCGTATGAGGATGAGAGGCCGTCAAGAGGGGATCAGACAATGGCCAGCACCAGTTGACAGACGTGGGAGCCAGGCCGTACAGTCCTCCAGATCTAGCCAAACTGTCAAGGAAACTCACAGAGTAACTTCGCAACTGACCCTAATCCAAACTGCCACCCCTCTGGAGTATGAGCAAATGCCATTGTCTTTGTCTTAGGCCACCAAGTTTTGCAATGGCTTGTGACATAGTGGTAGATCATTAAGATCAAGCTTCCTTGAAGCCTCCCTCTCTTACTTTTGCACATTCTAATTCCTCTGTGACCTTTTGTCATCTGGTTTCTAGCCATTTCGCCTGGACTAACTTCGTTACGCTTTATAACTTTTTATTAACATGTAACATATTTATAGCAAGAACACGCATTATAAATATGTATCTTAATCATCTTCACAAGTTTAATCAACATATATAATCAGAACCCAAATCAAGTACCAGCAAAACAGACAAAAGCCAAAAAGCTCTTCAGCCCTCACCTCTTGCCCTTACCACTTATTCCTCCAAAAGCAATCACTTTTCTGACTTCTTAAGACATAGATTGTTGGCTAGATTTTTGTACATCAAGGACACACGGCTTTACTTCCCCCAGCCAGTGGTGGTGAACCTGTGGCGTGTGGGCCACAGCGGGCTGCGTTACTGAAAACCCTATGCGGTTCACCTTCGCTGCACTAAGCAAACATGAAGCTGCCTGGTTTGCCAGGTCACTAGTAGACTTTTAGCAT